ACTGAATACATGGTTCCACCATGTAAAATTCAAGCAATGAATTATCTCACATTAGTAGAATGCAAGTAGAAAATTCAATTGATGCATAAAAAGCATTTCACAAATCTCAATATATTTTCTTGATTAAATCATTTAGTAAAATTTCTTCAATATATGGTAAAGGCCGTATATGAAAAACTCACAAGTAATATCAAACAGAATGTGAAAGAATGAAAGTTTTTTCCCTAGGTCAGACACAATAATAGAACCTCACTTCACTACTTGAATCAAAATCATACTAAAGTTCTAACCAGGTCAGCTTTCTACCAAAAAGAAAGAGTACTTCCACTTTGGAAAGGAAGGAACAAAATTACTTCTGTTGATAGATGACATGCTCTTAAATGTAGAACCAAAGTATTTCACAAAAACACTTCCAGAAGTAATGAAAGTGTGCAAATCTTACCAAATTTGAAGGATAACTGTCAGCTAAACTGGACCATGCAAAGGTAGTCTTTTCTTATTAGGTCTGAATCTTTCAAACACAAGTAGGGAAATATGTTCTGACTATCTTTCCTTATTGAAAACTGCAAAATGTAAATGAGCCAACATTCTGAAAGGTCACGGGTGCCCGCTCTGAAAGAAAAAATGCAAAGTTGGGAAAAGACAACGACAGCAGCTCATTAGATACTTAATTTGGAATCTATTTGAACCCAGGTCTTCTCAAGCCAGAAGTGTAGCCCCATCACAAAATTAACATAATAACAACATATAAGTGCTTATGACCATTACTTGTCACTTCCTGTAGGTTTTCGCTTATGCTTTATTTGAATTATGAATGCCTCTGTTTTTTATCTCCCAAAGTATACATGACTGTTTATTGCAAATTCAACACATACATAGCACTCAAATTAGTATGAGTCTGTGGAATGTGCTTCAGGAATATTAGATTTTCCTTAATTATCACCACTTCAGATTCAGATGCTGCAAAGTGTTATATAATCATGGCCAAATAATTTAAATCTCTGTACACAAAATTCTTATTTTACAAAATGGGGTATAATTTCACAGATAGTAAGTTTAAAGGTGATAATACATGTATGTTGGCCTCATAGATTAATGTTATTAGTGATAAGCTATTTTAAGCTACATGCCAAAAGCTATGTTTTCTTTTTCATATTTTTCTTCTTGTTACTTCAGAATGTCTTGTTTGTGTATTTTCACTTCATGAAAGCTTTATGTTTCTATAGGCAGGGAGACCGCCTAAAATCCCTCTTCAAGCCTAATCATTGATGTACCATACTACTTTTGACATGAATTTACCTTTATAAAACCAGTCGGATGATAAGACTGCCAAATTGGCAACACCTGGAGTGGGGAATTAAAATGTTTGAGGATGGTTAATGATTATAAGCGTGGTGTAATCCAGCTGAACAATGCTCCCATTGTAACTGAAAGTTTAATGATTGATAAGTGTGTTCCTGTTAAATAATTAATTATGGTGTTATGCTTGGAAGCAAGAAGTACAAATCATATTGAAAACATTGTGTTCTTTCTTAGATAACACAATGAGGGACATAAATAAAATCTTAAGTATTTGATCTGGTTGTCAGACTGTATGGATATAGGTGTTTTGCCATTTGAAAAGTCATTTTAACAAAAAATTTCAACTTCACAGCAATGCTAAAATAACTACAGTGAACACCTATAAATTTAAATTGAACCAATAATGTTCTGTATTTACTTTATGCTTATTTTTACTGTATATAATTAAGGTTTAAACATTCTTTTGCATATATAGTGAAACAATTAGTAGTCAAACAAATTATGTATTAATCACCTTCCATGGTTACCTGTATAAGGCATGTGTAAGAGCACTTAAAACCCATTCTCTTTGCAAATTTTCAGTAAAGAATTATTAAGTGAATCTCTCATGATGTGAATTAGGCTCCTGAGACTTGCAGATTCTATCCCAGGGCAAATTTACACTCTGACTATTTCTCCCCATTGCCTCTCAGCTTCCAACCCTGCCAACCACCATTCTACTCTCTTTACTTATTCAACTTTTTAAAAAAGGGTTCCACATATATACTGTCACTACTTTACCCAGCTATTTTTCCATTAATCCAAATTTAATATAACTAAAAGTAGATTATGGACTTAGTACATTTTCCTCTGAAACACCACTCTGCATGATGTAGTTAAGTGTTTCTCATCTGAGTAAGGCAAAGTACAAACTAGGAGAGAAATAAAGGAAGGACGGGAGGAGGCAAGGGGAGGGGTCTCTTGCAGATGAGGGAAGGAGGTAGAGTTCAGCAATGCCAGATGTAAGGTTGCAGTAACTTCAGTGGAATATGGGCATTATTTTCTATAAGCAGGAACTGAGATCAACGATATCAACAAGAATAGAAAGAAGGAAGGAGAAATAGAGGAGGAGGCAGGCACTGGGGGGAAGGAGACTGTATGAGGTACACGTACCAGCTCTCCAAGATGATTGTAAGATGCGTGTACTGCAAACATGTACTAATACAATATAACAAAAGAGGGAAAAAAAAAGAAAATTGGAATAATTAGCCCCACCAAAAGTATTCACTAAATATTTATAGTTTCAACATAAAAGCTTAAAAATTACAGTCATATTCCTATTACATAAATACTATATCTTGATTGTTAATATTTTTGTATATGACTTATTTCTCCTTTAAAGTAATATAAAATCTATCCCCCTGTGATTTAATGTTATATAAAAATTTCCTTTCCTTTCAGCTCCAAAGTTAGCTTAGAACTAGACAGGAGATCTTATTATGACAAGTTTTACATAATAGCCCCTGAAAAGTAAGCTTAGGAATGAGGATGTAGGTGAGATTTGCATGAGCAGAGAGGTAGGCTGTGCAGCCCACGGTACCACCCATGGCCCCCAGGAGGGATGGAGCCAAGGGAGACGAGCCTTTCCTGTGCATTAGAGCAGGAAAGAACCCAGCCTTGCTGGAGAGGAGCGTCTAGCTGGAGTGTGCTCTGCTGAGACACTGCACATGATGTTTGCTGTGTTTCCTTAGCAATTGGCTATTTCAGGAGTAAAAAGCTAAGAGAAAAGCTCAGTTTTGCTAATGAACAGTGAATTTAGTCTACAGACACAGACAACACAGTGAAAAACAGTCAAGACAAAGATAAGAAACCCTCATGTTTTCAAAACTAAAGATGCACATTGAATAAAAAAAATATTCTTATGTGCATAGGCAAAAAAAAGCTAGCAACAGGGCATAATCATAAAAACTCTTGATTTTTTTATGTATCAGAGACCAAGGGCTTTACATGCATAATTTTTTAAATCCCCTTCATAGAATGAGAAATCAAAATGACTTGTTCAAAGTGCACAGCTTGTGTTAGAGATGTGATTCTCATGCTAGTCCGTTTGACATATTGACCTACCCTCCTACATTGGTGTACAACTAACTAGCCAAGGTAGCCATTGTTATGCATACAGGGGAATAATCTGTAGCCACTGAAGTGCATATGTGTGTTAGTGTGTGTATATATATATATATATATATATATGGCTGTGCTACATATACTATACATGTAAATACAGTGTATTTAAGGCTTAAATCAGAAATAGCATCTTAATATTTATAGTTAGGGACACATGTATGCATCAGTGGACAAATCCGAATTTTAACAAGCTTTTCATGATTTGGACTCCTTCCTCTATGACTTTATAATCTGTGGTTCCCCTACTTGCTCATTACTTTCCAGCCACCACACCCTCCTTACTGAACATAGAGTAAACCAGCAGCCCGACCCAGCCTTGAGGATTGTGCGTTATTTTTTTTCCCAAGACATTTAGAATTCTCTCACCTCCAGTCTTTTAAGTAAGAACTCTAACTGCCTCACTTAGCTCTGCAATTGGCTGTTATATCCTTCTCTGCTTTTCTCATTCATATACTAATGACTACAGTTAGTCATTTTCTTACAGTCTTTATCATCCTCTGCCTTACTATGTCATTTACATTTTATTATATAAACAGTTTTATCCATTTTTCCTTACTGAATTGTAACCTTCATTGATGAGTTAAGGTTATTTTTCCTTCTCATTCCATCCCACAGCTATATCCCAAGAACTGGAAGACTGGACCCCAGTGGATGTTTGTTGATGGAGTGATGGCTATTACATCGAAAACGTAGCTAGGTTTATATCTTATGTAAATTGCCCCAGGAAGATATTACTTGGCAGTACGTGTTCTACCACATGAAAGTACTCAGAGGAAGAGCCTCGCCAACATTTCTATCTGGATTGTGCAGAATGACAGAACTCACGTGGGCAGCTTGTGAGTTTTCAGAGAATGGGGCCAGCTACATGAAGTCTGAGCTGGTTAGAAGTACTCATGCCAGGAGTGCGTGGTGCACAACTGTAATCCCAGCACTTGGGAGGCTGAGGCAGGAAGATAACAGTTTGAGGCCAGTCTGGGCTACATAATGAATGTAAGGCTGGTCTGAATTAGATGGAGAGACCTTGTCTCAAAAAGAAAAAAAAAAAAAAACTGTCGAGTTAAAATTTGCAATATAATTAAACTTTCTCTGGTATTTAGGATTCCCAATGTTTTACATAGTTCTCTCATTCCACAGTAAAGCTGAAAATTTACTACATTCTCTAAATGTATACTCTTTTAAAGATTTTGTATCTGCTCAGTATTTATGGATAGTCACTCTTTGTTGAATATTAAATATTTGTTTGCTTTTTTCAACTGGGAGATCCTATCATGTTGTTGAGATACCAAATATGTAATATTTAAATTTTGCATATTCAAAATCAACTATTCAGAGCCAGACAGAAACTATAGCCTATAGAAAGCAAAAGTTCTACTTTCCTTTTCCTTAAATAAGGAAGAACCATTATTATGTGAACTAATACTTGAGTAATAAATATTTTCAAATAACATTAAGAATAACATGTGATCATGTTGTTAAAATCCTTCTCATTACGGAGATTTGAAGAATACGAGAAGGAAAGTTGTTTTCCCATGATTTCATACTGGTTGGGTAGTTGATGAGATCAGATAACAGGTCTTGGGATCCCAAATTATCTCAGGTCCATTATTCTACATTGCATGTCTGTGTCTTGATCTTCAAATAAAATCACCTTCAATTCTTCTTCAGAATTTACTTTATTGAGAAGCAAATCAAGGGAGACAGACATACACTGACAGTCAGAGTAAAAGCTGTCTTTATAAACTCAAGGGATTCCCCAGATACAAGAAAAGCAGAAGGGAGAAAACACAAGAGCTGGCAGCCAGTGTGACACACTGGCTTTGGGATTCAGCATTTTCCATGATGCTTTAGGTAGATCTTTCCATCGTTTTTCCTATTGACAAAAAGAAAAAGAAATATGTACTCAGTTGAAATATTGTGTGCATTTGCTACAGGTGTTAGAAACAGGTTTAACTATGCATAGTCTATCTCATTTGATTCTGCAGATACCCTTATCTATTGTTCAGCTGAGATTAATTAAATGCACTCAGAGGTAATATCTGGCCTAACTGTGGAACTCATGAATCTTAAGTAAGTCTCAGAATTTTGAGGAGCCTTAGACCCTGCAGTACCAGTTGCTTATTCCCTGACAGTAAATATGTGTACAAGTGGAAAAGGCAGAAGTCGCAGGAGAAATAATGCCAAAGAGACTACAATGTCACAGTTATACCCTGACATAGGATGGAAGAAAGTGAACACACTGGGGCACGTGGCGCTTGAAAGGGAACTGCACATGCAGACCTTCACGGTACAATCTGTCCGTTAACTCAAATCTCATCCCTCTGCACTATTTCCCCTGAGGAAAGTTGGGTGTGAATTAGTCAGATATGTCCTACAGCAATGCATTCACTGTGTACTGGCATTTTAAATTAAAATTGGCATTTTAAATTAAATTAGAAAACTAAAATTGGCATTTTAAATTAAAATTAAACAAAAATAGGAAAATTATCAAACTTATTAATGATAATGTTATTATAATGTGTGAAATCTAACCATTTTGAGAACTTCCTTAAAATGAATCAAATTAGTAGCAAAGTAAAAGCTATTAAGTTTATGTTTTCAAATAATTTTTCAACTTTTCTGCTTTTTTTTGTTGCTTTGCCTGTAGCCCATTTATTTTCAGTCCATCTCCCTTGAGGTCATTTATTCAGTCTCTAGGCTGAAGAATGGGTAGAAGTTTCTAGAACCTCCATGAAAGCATCTCAGGCTTATTCTAGAAGCTTCTGGCTTGCAAAAGGACAGGTTTAGTGATTCTTATACTTACACCACTGCCTTACAGAAGGCACATTGATTGCCATATGTCTGACCATCAGAGCCACAGTGCGGGTCTGATTCCCGAGTGCAGAAGAACTTGGGATCACTGAACTTACTGCAGTCAACCTACAAACAAACGCAGTGATGTTGACATCAGCATGTTCTATCTAAAGGGCTGTTCATCAGAATGGAGCATTTGGGCCAGTTTCAAAACCATAGACACATGAGGTTTGTCACATAAAAACATCTTGAAATAAAAAGGGGCTGGGGATTTAGCTCAGCGGTACAGCGCCTGCCTGGCAAGCTCAACATCGTGAGTTCGATTCCTGGTACCGGAAGAAAAACAAAAACAAACAAACAAACAAAAAAAAAATGGTTCTCTTTATCTGCTAAAGTAGAATACATTAAATAGAACTGAGACTTTTTCTTTGAGGCACAGGGAACTCCTTATAAGAAATACATTACTAGCCAATGGTTCATGTTTGTAATTCCAGCAGTTGGGATGCCAAGGTAGAGGATTGTGTAAGCTCCAGGCTAGCCTGAAATATCCTGTGATATCCTGTCTCAAAAAGCAAACAAACAAACAAAAACAAATTAATATCTTCAGGAGTAAATTAATGATGTTAAGAGCTATACTTAGGACTTTTTTGCTCCAGCTTTAAAATACTCCAGTTTAGGGTAGTGTTTGACAGTAAAGAACATTTGGTTTTTCTCCGGTACCGGGAACTGAACTCATGACCTTGTGCTTGCCAGGCAGGCGCTTTTGCCACTGAGCTAAATCCCCAGCCCCTGAGAACATTTTAAAAAGCTGTATTAATGTTGAATAGCTGCAAGTTGAATAGTATGTTTCTTCATGTGATGAGACTATAATACTTATGAAGGATCCCCAGACATTACTCAATGGCTTGTTGGTTTTTTCAAGAGATATAGCACCCATCTATTACCCTTTAAAATATTAATGTCTTTATAGTAACTTATTTTGTCTCACTATCTGTGTGTAGAATTTGAACTTGTATGCTAATTACAATAACTTAGCAATGGCTACCTAAGACGCTGTATTTAGAAAGATTCTAAGTTATAACTGAGTCTTATTGAGCATTAACAATTGTTATCAATATTGAGTGGCACTAAAACAACCTCTCAGTTATGGTTGTTTCTGAGAGCCAACCTGGACAGTAGTAGTAATGTTCTTTTCAATGCGTTGTCAATAGAATCAGTATTTGGTATGCAAATGGAATCTATGTCATTATTTCCAGGATATGAAATAGATTAAACTGAGCCACTCCAAGTATCTGCTTGTGTAATGAAATGATAATTACCCATTACTAGAGAAAAACTGCATTATCCCTGTCTTGATTCCATTGAACAATGCCATCTTACAATTCTCAATCACTTCATATAGTTAACACCTTCATATGTATTTCTTCAGTCAAGTCTAATGGTAAGCCTGAGGCATAGACTGAGCTATCTGTATTTATTCCATTACATCACACTGCATACCATACACACAACAAAAATCATATGTTAAAAAATACTGTACTGAGGAAATGTTATGAACCCTGACAAAAAAAGATCACTCATTAAGCTATTAGCACACCACTATGCACTGACAGAGTTGTCTGAAGATTAGTTTTCATGGTGAAGAAAATGTTCAGTGATAGGATCAGACAGTTAGGTTTAAAAAGACACCAGAGTGCTCACTTCAGCACCACATACACTAAAAAAACCCACCACATATATCCAGTTTAAGTACAACCTGCACATTTTTGGCAGTACTTATAGTTGATGACTTACACTAGTGAGGTTGGGTAGTATAGTTTCCTCCCTATGGTACTAATTTTACCCACCACCTGGAAAGAATATTCTCACACTACTTCCAGAAAAATAATCTTTCCCTTAGGTCTTCAAGTGGAAATAAGGGCAGGAAATCTTGAGTTCACTGCAAGTCACAGAACACCTTTTTTTCCCTCAAAATCTTATGTGTTTTATATTTATGTCACTAACAGACACAATATTACACTTGAGTCAAAAAAAAACTGTGAACTGCAAGATCATCCATACTTTATTTATCTCAAAATAACCTGATGTGTAAAAATATACGGAAGACCTGGCACTGGGTGCTGGTTATACAAGGGCGAACCTGTAATACCACTGCATCAACATACAGTGTCATCTGCTTAACAGAGCCGGGGGAGAGTTTGGATGTCACAGTGCCCTGTTGACAGATGCCACAGTGGGCCGTGGGCACACAGTTGAGCCGGCGCCTCACAGTAATGGGGAAAATAAACAGGAAAGTCCCTTACGTGAAAGAGATGGCTTCTTAAGGCACCTTTCCCTGGCCATTGGCTCTTTGATCTTGTGAGCCAGCCTCTTTTTTCCTTCGGAAAGCAAATACAGAAGTGGAACTTGGGGAGAACATTTGAGATTCTCCAGAACCACCCCCCAACCCCATGGTCATTCCCTTTCTCTATGCCCTTGAAAGCAGTTAGGAGCAGCAAATAATAATAATTAATAATAATAATATCAATCAGCTGGCATATGAACAAATTGTGTTAGAACAAACACACTTCATACTTTTAAGTTGTAGCAACCCTCTACGAAGCCTCAGGTGAGCTGAGAAGCATATTATAGAAAACTAACTCTGTTGTTAATTCTCTGTGCTATCTTATGTGAAGCACTGAACAGGCCAAGATTTTCTTAACCAGAAAATAAACAAATACTTGCCAGGCCTCATTCCCACATTCCCAGGATTTTTCTAGGGAGCGAATGCAGATGTAAGACTTGTTGAGTCAGTGTGGAATGTCTGAAATGGTTCCAAGTTAGGAATGTAGAAATAACCACTTTGGAGGCCTCTTTTAACTGAAGCTCATAGAAAATGGTCTACACACCAGGGGACTAGACAGTCTCTAACAGCTCTTATAATTTAGATGATCCAAGATGTAGTAGTGACTATGTTCAATGAATTGGTTTAAATAAAGCTCCTACATTCACTGTTTTTGCAGTTGGGTGGGAGAAAAAGCAACTTTTGCCCAAGTGTTTCCTCTTGTATGTCTACTGAAGCCTCTGCATTCACTGGGTGAGATATTCCGGCGGGATGAGCAGGAGAAAAAGAGAGTGCCCCTTTGGAGCCTCTGCTACTGCCCATGCAATTATCTGGAAATTATCCTCTGGTAATTCAGAGTGGGGCAAGAGCATGTCAAGAGTAGAGGGAGACTTCAGGTCTCACAACCTGAGGAGATGTGAATTAAGATCTTTTAATTGCCAGGCATTTTCACTGCCTGAATTTACTCTCCTATTTTATGTTTTTGTTTTGAACTCTTTTACATAAATCCAACAACTGGCTTCTCAGTGGAAGATGAAGTAGGTCTAGGTTGGAGGTGGTAGTAGGATTATCTTTTCTCCTTTAAAATTTTACTCATGAAACATTTAGAAGACTTAGGAGAGCTCAAATACTCCCAATCTAATGAAAATGCCCCAATGCTATTATAATGTTAGGGGGCTGGCCTGTGGATGGAATTGGAATGACCTGGGTTTGAATCTTACTTTTCAGTTTATTAGCTGCATTACAGTGTGCAAACGCTTCATTACTCTGAGTTTAAATGTCTACACATTCTACAGTAATGCCATACTTACCTCCTAGGACTGTCGTAGAATTTAGCCCTACCAAAAATTACTATCTGGAAGATCACTATCATAAAGACCAGCAATGTAAATTGCATTACATCCTCTAGAATTTTTGGAACCCATTTTATTGCTCACCATATTTTAAGACTATTTTAAAATGTTCACTTTGCTGTTGGGTTTAAGAGGAAATACCCATTTTCTTTGATGTAGCAACTCGGAGACTGCTTGTAGGTGCGCGGGTGCCAATATTTTGCATCAGCCTGCCCCCTTGTGGTGGTTTAAAGAACTGTATCTTCTGAAACGTTTTGGGATGAAATGACAGTACTCAAGTTGGTTATCCTTACTAATATACAAAGTAATTTAATTTGTTTGAAAACTTGTGCTTATATGGTCATCTCATCAACTAAGCAGTCAGGGTCATTAATATTTTAATCTACCATTTAGGTGTACAAATAAAACCAATGAAAATTTGCAATCACACACACACACACACACACCCCTCCCCCGTGTTTACACCCTTTCTTCTCCCTTAAAACTGCTCTCGAAAAGTATGCCTGTAGCTGGGCGTGATGGTGCACACCTGAAATCCCAGCACTCAGGTGGCTGTGGCAGGATGATCGCCCTGCACTTGAGACAGCCTACATAGTGAGTTCAAGACCAGCCTGCACACGAGAGATCTTGGCTCAAAAAAAAAAAAAAAAAGAGGAAGGAAACACTCATAACATATTCATGTCCAAAACATAGCCCTTTATCTTCCCTGTAAACTAGTTTTTAATTCCAGCTTTTCTATTTTCCGTGATAGCACTGCTCTTCAGATTTCTCCGTCCGGCCTTCAGACCATTTATTTCTCCATCTGCCACATGTTATGTTTCTTTACTTCAGGTCTTCTTTGCAAATTCCAGATTTACTACCTATTCCAGCCCTCATCCTTTCTTGGTGAACCAGTACAGTGAGTTCTGCTATCTCTGGTGCCTTTTCCTCCTTGGTTTGAAACCTTGTTCCTTGTAGAGAGGAGCTAATCTTATTTTAAACTCTTTTCATCTTTTTTTTTCTTGTGTGTGTGTGTGTTTTTGAGACAGGGTCTCGCTATGCAGTTCAGACTGGCTTTGAGCTCACTTTGTAGCCCAAACTGGTCTCGGACTTGCAACAATCCTCCTGCCGCAGCCTCCAGAGTGCTGGGATTACAGGCATGTACCACCATGCCTGGCTCATCATATTCTTAAGAAGTCAGGATAATAATCACAATTATTATTATTATTTTTGTTTTGTTTTGTTTTTTGTTTTTTTGTTTTTTCTCTGGTACCGGGAACCGAACTCACGACCTTGCGCTTGCTAGGCAGGCACTTTGCCACTGAGCTAAATCCCCAGCCCCAATAATCACAATTATTAATTTAAATTTGTTTAGAAAAATACACTTTTTGACTTTCTTTCACATGCACTGCATAGTAGCTTTCACTCCTTTTTTTCTTTTTTCTTTGATGCTAGGAATGGGGCTCAGGGCCTTGCACATGCTAGGCGAATTGTCTACCCCTGAGCAATGTTCCCCCCATCTTTTATTGCTTGCTGAAGGTAACTTGGTTCAGGTTCATCCTGAGCTGCTGATACATAGCCAGCCAGGCCCTCATTCTATGGCCTCAGTTTTCCCATCTCTAGTAAAGGTGTAGATTCTGGGTAACATCACTAATCTTCATTTACATATTCATTAGTATGCTACTTTATATAAAATCATGCTAATTAGCAAAACCTGAGAACTCCAAACTTATTCTAGTTACAGAGCATTATTTTACAAAAGATTTGATTGTGTTAAAACTCACTAATTTTATCTCAAATGCAAACAGGAATAAACTTAGTTATCCCCAAAAGTATTGCAACAAAAATCAGTTGTGAATCTTCATTTTTGAGGGGCTTGATCTGCTCACTCCAATTCTGACTATTCATTTAAGTAATTCTTTACAGAAACAGTCCCGAAATACAGAGCACAGTAGGAAAATAAAAAACATTAAAAGCAATGTACTGAGTGGTACCAAAAGCAAATGTATTTTCAATTCAAAGTACTATCTTTTTCTGTCTTTAAAATATTTTTACGTTGGACCGGGAAGATAGCTCAGTGGTACAAGTGCCTGCCTGGCAAGTGCAAGGTCCTGAGTTGATCCCCTGGTACAAAAAAATAAATAAATAAATAAAATTATGTAATACTACAATTTACTTGATAAAATGCTTTTGATGTTAGACAATAATTTTATTTTATTGTCATTTTTATTGAAGTTATTTCATGTAACCACTTGGCAAATTAAAGACTTGGGGACCTATGAGCCATATGCATTTACAGTGAAAATTTTGTTGGAACATGAAGTCTGGGAATATCCTTTGTGTTTAGCTTGAATAATCTTTTTAAACTAATGTGACATGCAAAAGGTGTATAATTTGGACTGCTAACTGTAATCTCCCACAGGTGTTTCATCACAGGGAGAAACCCTGGCATGAGGAGAGTGACTGGAGTGTCGGGGAAACCTGACACCCTCTCTGTGGGCTGGATGAGACCTGAGGCAGAGCACTGCCAATGTTGTTTCAACTCTTTCTGCTGAGGTCTTCCTCCAACCCTACAGAAGAGCTAGGGCAGCCTTGGCGTGATCTAAAAGGGCGGAACATTCCCTGTTCTTTAGACTTCAGTGGAGGAAAAACAGCAGCCTTCCTAGGGCTGGCTGGGTTCATAAGGATTTCAATATATAGTACGCGAAGAAGCTTGGGAGATCGCTGAATCCAACCCTTCATCTTAAAGATTTGGCAACAAAGGCACTGAGAAGACAAAAGATATTAACCAAATCACCCGGCAGGCCTTGAGTATTTGAATTAGGACTCATCCATATTATCAGACTCCAAAACCAGTGCTTGCCAATACTCTTGCTTCCTTTACCTAGAGAAAGTGTTCAAATTTTATTGTGCGTGTCACTGGGATAATTGTATAGAGTGAAGACCTCAAACCCTTACCTCTGCAATTATTGTTCAGTACCGTACACCGCACGAGTATCGGATATTTAGAAAGTATCTCAGGTGTCCCTGAAGCAAGTGGACTAAGATTTGGTCTTATATAACAGAATAGCACTAGGAACTAGTACATAGTATAAAAACTTTAGAAAACGCAATTTAAAACTCTGATAAATTAAGGTCTAAAAAAACGGAAGTGACTTGTATGTTAATGATAAAAAATTTGTGTTAAATTTCCTATCTCTTAGATCTGTGTGTAATAACCTTATCATTGTAGTTTCTTACCTAAAGTGATATGAAACATGTTGGCTCAGTCTTATGACCCTTCTTTGTATTTACTTTTGTATATACTGTGCCCTGTGCTACAGTACTTACATATAAGGAGTCAGAATAAGAAATTATAGCTTTGTGAAGCAAAGCTTCACATACAGATGTGAATCTAAACATACAGATGTGGATGTGGTGAGCATACACAGAGACAATTTAAGGTGTCATCAAGTATAAGATGCATCTTAATTTCTCGAAAAAGAAACTGAGAAATTTTTAATTGGAAAAAGTGATTCTCATGAAACGGGGTGGGTGGATCAAGGTTGGAAAATACTTTGCAACTTCTCTCTCAGCTCCAGTCAGTTGGTAATAATGTCTGGAGATTTTTAAAGCCAAGAGTTCTTGAATAGACCAAGGCTACACAAAACTTGGCAAGATCAAGTAGAAATGCTTGGTATGGACATAGGGTGGGGACAGGCAGAGAAAATAATACATATTCAGTTTTTTAATAGATCATTAAAGGGAAAAAAAGCTATTAAATTAAATTGGGAGGAAAAATGCAACAATGGAGAAGCTCATTGTTCATGTGCCCATCCCAATTTTAACATCAAACTATATTTGTGTTTGGGTGTACCAGACCAGTCTGTTTATCCTCAATACACACATTAAAAAAGTTTTCTCTTTATTTTTCATTATATCTCAAAAAGAAAAAAAGTACTTCTCTGAACTCCTCCAAAGGTTGTTAATTATTAATTCACTTTAACTTTTACACTTTCCTAAAGGCCTTCACTGATTTAAATGTAATTGTGACTTTAGAAATTGAATACTAGTACCCCTCGTCTATAGCAGCAGAAGTTGCAGCCCAGAAAGCCTTGCTTCCCCAAGAGTACACAGTGAAGTTAGCAATGAATTTTACCTCATATCCATTCTACGTTCACTTATGCTAGGATTTAAATTAGGACTTTTAAACTTAACTGGTATATTCCTAAAAGATTAAAATTTTGAAAAATGATTTCAGCTGATTTATGCATGTGTCCTTCTTGCTCATTACTTTGTTAGTTTACACCATAAACACACCTATTTTTGGTCCAAGAATACCAGTCAAGCACCACCAATGTTGGAAAAGTAGATAAAACTAGGCACTGACCTGTTTGCCTTGAGTGAAGACACCTGAAAAACAGCATAAAATCCGAACACTGTAATTTATAAACGTGCAACAAGTGAGCCCTGCAAACTTAGAAAATCCTCAGTATTTGCTGTGGGTGCTTGACCATCCCAAGCTGTCATGATGTGTCTTCACATTTTCTTGTACTTGCTACTTCTTAGGGAGCAGTGGAAGCTTGGACCATTAGGGAGAAATACAGACAATGCAAAGGGACAATATTTACTGGAGGTTAGAGTGGAGTGGAAGAAACTATTTACGGATTTAAAGCTCATGCTGTAGTTCTGGTCAAGTCATTAGTTTACTATGAGAGCAACCTGGTCATCTTTGGTCTTACTTTGAGGAAGATGGATTAGAAAGTCTTCTCTAACATTGATGTTCCAAAGTTCAGCCTATGTAGCTTCTTCTAAAAGCCTTTGTTATAGGGAGCTGGGGAATATGTTGTTTGTTCACTGAGCTCAGGGTTGCTCTTCTGCCCTCTCTGCAGATACTCAGCCTCAGAGACTTGGCTCGAGTATGGACTGGAGAGAAAGAACTCGTTTACTCTTCTCTGCCTCATTTCTCCTATATCTCTAAGTTCCTTGAAGAGAAAATGAATTTTTACATAGTAATCTCCCCTCTTTCTTCTTACTAGTATTTGTAATTTTAGATTGTAATAAATTATCTAAGTGGCTTGAATTACTGGAATAATGAAAACCTTAGATCCAGTTCTGGTAGGAGGTGTGTGGCTTTGATCTGTAGCAATCTCTGTGGAACTCCTGGAGCAGCAGTACCTCCCACATATAAGCCTAGGATTGCCTCTGTAAGGAAGGGTGTGGATTAATGCAATCCAGCCTCTCTGCTGACCAACATTTAGGGAGGACTACTGGAAATACCCCAGAGTCTAATTTCTATTAATGGGGATAAAAAGACAACAAGGCTTTTTAAATGTGAAAGAAAGTTATTATTTCTTGCAATGTTTACCCACCTTAGTGATTCCTACATAGCAGAGTTATAGATTGTTAACATTTCAAATTCTTAGGATGATCCCTTAGAAACTATAATACAGAAGCAAATGGATCTACAAGTCTAATTTTGTAAAGTCTCTGTGAGTTTTCTGACTAGAGAAAATTTAATATTGCTATTTTCAGTCAATTCTTGACTTCAAATCTGTGATAAGAAAGAAGGGATTTGCCCAGTGTCTCATACATAGATAGCAAATTAGAAAAAGGTAAAACTCATAATGCCTGAATATAACTTAGTACTATTTTATTCAACTTTATTTGCTAGTAGTAAAAGACATTTATTGAACATTTATTATGTCCCATCTACTTTGTGAAGTGCTTCACATGTATTTTTTTCATTTAATGCCCCATGTAGAGACAGAAAGTCCTTTTATAGTCCACATTGTGAACAAAAAAAAATGAGGCTCAGAAAGTTCACACAGCTATAAATTGAAAACGCCAGAATTTAAAAGACTTTCTCTTTCCACATTAAAACTCTTAGAAAATATCGTCCTCTCAAATAGTATCTATTATGTCTATGACAAATACATGTTTTGTTAAATTTGGTGTATTTGTTAATCACATCCTGTTCAATGTCAATTCATCTAAAGAGAGGCAATGAGAATAGTAATTCATTTTGAAGATTATCTTTGCAACTAAATTTTTAACATTGGTCTATTTCTTTCTGCATCACAGCCATTCACTGAACTACTCATTAAAATTATTTGTCTCCAGTGGTCAAGTTTACTCCACAGGAGCACAGAAATCTCAATCTATTTTCTCATTTTTAAATATGCTTATTTATGTAAATGCAACTAATCAAGATGAATAAACACTTGGAGACTCAGTTCAATCTTACTGAAAATTTGTTTGTACATGTTCATCCATTTAAAATCCTTTATAGCAGCAAAATTTATTTGTTATGTTTACACAAAATGATACACCTTACGTGGAGGTTTCCAGGGATTAGTCTAGTTAGTAACATTTTATGTAACAATAAAAATATCAGAGAATTGAGATATTTTTTCAGTTCACACAGGTGAATAATAAAACTAGGAGACTATTTTGTCCACTAAAACCTTATTGGAATAATATAGAAGAAAGTAGATATAAATGCCTCTGTTCATTCAGATGATCCTGACAGCCAGAAATCTCATCTCCAGATGAAATTCATCACCTTGAATTTTACACTACTTTAACTGATAAAATATATGACCACTGCTCATTAAAGCAAACAAAAATACTCCCTTGCTTTAAGAATTGTTTAATTTAGCAATAATATATGTTTTCACAGTATGAGGTTCCATAACCTCTTTTCAAGGATTTATTCACTGAGTTTCTATTTTTTCCCTTCCTCCAATTTTCATTATTTAAATCCTTGTAGAATAATAAATGACAGAAAAATTTGACTTTGCCTTTGAAAGCCAAGATTTACATTACAAACTATGTAATACAATTATCCATCCTCCAGACGAGTTATTTGCCCCAAAGGCAAAATCTAAAAGACCTGGATTCAAATTTAAAATTCTATTTACTTGTTGCAGGCCCTTTGACAATTTTCTTAACTTGTCTGTGCCACAGTCTTTTATATGTAGAAAGGAGATATAAATTCTTTGCCATGTGTATTAGAGCTAATACACACTAGCCCTAGAATATAGTACATGCTCAATAAATGACCTTTCTTTCTTACCATTACTGCTATAATAATCCCCATTGTCTTGATCATTATCACCATCCACATGATGAGCTCTCTTACATCAAAATCTTTGAAATATGATAGAAAATGACTCTTTTCATCTCCATTTTGATATGCATATAGCATCTTAATTTTAAGAAAAAACTCACCTGAAGAAAAGCATAAAAGAGCCAGAGAGAGGAACAGAAAGACCCTTGATATTTTCATGGTGCCAGGTAGCTCACTCGAATCAAGGCTCCTCCTTCAGCTTAGGTTCTCTCTCAAGGCTCTTCCCAGGAAACCCTGAAACACACACTGAGACATATATATACACAAGATAAAGGGAGTTGGAATCTCCACCTTCTTTTATAAAAATCACATTCTGAAACCATATGCAGTCTTATATACCTTAGACATTAATGAAGAAATGCTTTATGCTCCCCATCAATCTTAAAAATTAGGACAATTATGTGAGTCGCACCTCAGAGCTTGTTAATAGAGGATGTCATTTTGTACCAGTAGCCGGTATTTTCCTAACAGCCAATAATCCTCCCTGATCTTCTTTCCAAAGCTTCACTATATTAAAGGAATGATTCACAGGGTAATTCTACTCGCTCCCTATGTCTATTTTCAGACAGTTCCCGCGTGTCTGTGGCCCTGGTGAATAACTACAGGGGAATGGAATCTCTAGGGTGTAACTTTAGTTTCCAGTCTAAGTCATTCCCGCTGTACCTGCGGCAGAGAGGTAGTGTATAGTGGCACCAGATTTGCATCAGAACCAGCATTTTCTGGGAAGGAAAGGGAGCCAGGCTATTAATTTTAGATGATGATTGTAGTCTACTGTTAGTGGTTTCCAGGTTTTGAGTCAAAATGGACAGAAGAGTCATTGTGCAGATTACTGAATTGTATATTAGAAACGAGCAACATTTACTATTTCTTTTATTCTGCAAAGCATAAAAAATTTGTTCTCATGAAGACTAATGTTTAAACCCCTTGGATGTACACCATTCCTATCAGTTGAATGATTTCATAAGCACCACGACCAGTTTAATTGCAGAATGGATCACAAACTGGGACATCATAACTCTCTGTGAAAGGATCAAACAACAGCAACAAATATAGTGTTAACAGGAAAGTCTGTATTGAAACATAAACTTCTGCTCAAAATACCATGCAGACAAGCAGCAAGGTAAAATATGGGAAGATTATATAAAACATGCCCAATAGAAATACTAGTGATAAATACAGTCTATGCATAAATAAGTCATAAGTTACACAAATAAATAATTGGCTTTCTTTTAAAGTAGTCACCCTGAGAAAATATACAGAGTTAATATAGTATATATATTTTTTTATCTCCAGATATTCATTCTCTTTTTGGAAGTTATCTGGTTTTAGAAATCTTAATTTGATTTACAACAATATTTAGGGTGAATCTTACGTCTTTTAAATTGGTGGGTATATTTATTGAATTTGATAAGAAAGATACTATTGCTTTAATAAAATTAAGTGTGATTGTGATAAAAATATTTATTTCTTTTGTTTTTCTGACAAATTTTAAAAACACCTAAATCAGGCTGCAAGTGAAGTTCAGCATTAGAGCACTTAATGAAAATGCATTAGACCCTTGGTTCATTCTCCCACGCCACAAACAAACCAAAACAAAAAAACAACACCTGAATGTAAATTGAAGAAGAAAGATAGGCTAAAGGAGAGAGGAGCATGCATCAGAAAAAGAAAAAAGGTATAAGAGTAGAGAAAAATGGACACTTAACAAGTACTAAAATGGGTTTCATTCAAAGATGATATCACACACACACAATCAGAGAATCCTCAACAGAAAGCTGTAGTTCAAACATCACACATTAAATGCTTTGAAGATACTAATGAACAACCTTAAAATCTTTATTTAAATTTTTCTTGAGAGTTTTATGAGGAGTCTGGGGACATTTGGAAATTACAAAATGTGATAAAATGCTTACAGAAAATTTTGAAAATTTCAAATAACAATTCCACAGTTTTTCCTACTTTTTATCCTCTTGATTACTTTTCTCATTAAGTGAGGTACTGTAAGGAGCAGTTCATCAGAATTTAAACACTGCATAAGCTTTGCTGTAGGCCTCCTATCACCTTCCTCCTTCCTCCTGCGCCACCTTCCACCTTCCACCTTCTTCACTGGCTTTTTTCCCACCATCTCTTGTGACCGCAGAGTATATGATCATTCTAAGTAATATCTCACATCCAAAATGATGGCAATTTGCAAGCATCAGCCAATGTGACAGCCATAGTTGGTCATATTCCATCATAAAATTCAAGAAATGGGAATAAATATTTTGCAAGTAGGGAGGGGCCCAAGAGGCCAAGGGTAAGATGACAGAGAAAGCAAAGTAAAACAATATGAGATGTGTCATGCATATGTACAAGTGCCCACAATAAGTGCAAACATTATATCTCATGAACAGGAACTGAAAGTTCTAATAATAAAATAATAAAGAAAATGCATGAGGAGACCCTAGAGAGGGAGGGCGGGAGAGCGCTGGGTGGGGGGCTCACATACCTACCCCCTAAAATGGATGTAAACTCCATGTGTTGCAAATATGTACTAACGAGATAAACTTTTAAACAAAATAAATTCTTCAGCAGAAACCTTTCATAGAATGAGTCTACTCTCTTTTTCTGAATGTTTTCAATTTTGTGTCTTTAACATTTTCTGCACAAACCAAGACAAAGCTTGGTAGCATAAAAGCACACATTAAGTACTGGCTCTAGATAGCTGTGGGAGAAAGAACATTTTATCATAAGTGCATTTATGTTTAAAAATGCAATACTTTGAATAATCACTTTTATTAAGATTCTGAGGCTATACAGAAATGTGTAGGTTTTTTGTTAATACTTAAAGGAAAATGTAAGAAACTTTCTTGGAGGAATCACTTAAGTAGCTTCTTTTATAAGAAGCTCAGATGAAAGAAGGTAACAAAGGACTTACAGGCAATTGTTCACAGACTGCAATTCTAGTCTTTTAGTTACAAAGCATGTAGCAAGCAGCAATTTTTGAATTTACTTTTCCAATATGAAAGGAAAACAGGGAAAGTTTTAAGAATTTTAGTATGGGAGAAAATGTAAATTTTAACATATTGAATCGTTTACAGCAAGGGAAATACAAACAAAGCCCTGAAAAATAATAAGAAAGGGTGCATGGGAGAAGGTAATTGTAACTTTTCCTTTCCCCCAAGTAGCCCATATATACTGAAATGCACTATATTTGACACATCCTTTCTCAGACAGATATGTCCTTTCTGTCCCAAGCTCTTTCGCCATTTTGTATTCATCATGGAGTAGAGGCATATTTTCAAAAGGAAAGTCATTATATTAATCCAAAAAAGGTACTAGACTAAAATCAAGAATTTTTATTTGTGAAGCCTATATTAATGCAGTAACATACTATAGAAACAGTCCCTGAAAGAATAACCTTCCCATATTAATTCAGAATGAAGATTGTTTTTCTTATAACTTTTGTTAGACCATAGAAGAAAGAGGAATCTTTCTGAGCACTGGGATAAGGACCTAAGGAAGAAAAGGAGAGAGGAACTGGAGTTTTGACTCTGTTGTCCTGGTTTAGTTAAAAATCCCTGGCTTTGGAAAAAGATGAAGATGTATCATTGGACTCAGCATGGTGAGAAACAGTGGTAATAACAAGGGATATATCTGAGGATTTGTACCTGATAAGAAACTCACAAGGTCTCTCATGCTTCAGTGAAGATAAGAAAAAGCAGCTAAAATTCAGTCTTTAATATGAAAAACAAATGCAGATAGAGCTAGATGAGCTAGCTGGAAGGAATCTGAGTCAAAACAAGCAGACTTAGACAGGAGTCATGTAATTCAATAAACAGCACAACAGATGGTTAATAAGAAGGGGGAAGGAGACACAGCCTTCCATGACACAGTGACCACAGGAACCATGTGACAAGGCAGCCGTTCCCGGGAGGGTGATTGATAGGTGTCACACCCAGAAGCCAACTGGTAATAAATACTCCACTGGGGCCAGTGTCATGCAAATGTCATCATATTATATAGGAACCCTCCTAGATGCTGTCTTTGAAAGCAAGAAACAATAGAAAAGAAACAATGAGAAAGGAGAACCAGAGAGAAACACTAACTTAGTAAATGTGAGTGTTAAGTGGAAGAAACTTAGGTTTAATATATCCATAGAACTTCCAAGTACACTGAGCAACTAGTGACCCCTCAGAAGATGATTGATGAATGACTGAGATTCAAGAACACTTAATTGGCAAGTTACGGACCTTCTGGCACTACTGTGAAATAAAGATGATAGCAGTTCAAACAGGAAACTTTACTTACAGGTACATTTATTAGCTTATATAAAATTTGATGTAATATATTTAGTATATTTAGGTCCAATTGTTTTATCAAAAATAGATTCTTTGCCTTACCAGAAAAATTAAAAATTCTTTATCATGTCAAAAGACAGTATTGATCTTCCACTTAATACAAAATATAGCTTAAAGTTCTCTTAGTAAATATTCATACTATCCTTATATTTAATGATCCTGTGGTAAATATGAATTCTCATAGACTTTTGATTCCAGGTAGACCTGGGTTGTGCTTTCATCTCACTTCTGCCATGTGCCAGATAATTGAAGGATGTTAATTAACTTTTCTGAATCATAGTATTCCCTTTTTTTCTTAACTATTTTTCACTGCAGGGAATCAAACCTAGGGCTTGTGCATACCAGGCAAGTTCTCTACTGATCTACATTCTCAGTTCCTTAATATTCGTACTAAGAAGAGTGTTCGGAGTTAATTTTATCCACATTATACTTATTTCATTAACTTTCTTCCATAATAAATACCTTTTGTTATTTGATCACACTTTACATTCAATCTCTCAAGATTGTTTAGGCTTGAATATTTCATTATATTAGCTATTCCTCCCATCTTCATATCCACTATCTCATCAAGTTTGTAATTTGGCTCAGGGCAGGGTTTGAAATATTCTTCTTTTAAAATACATGATTTTCAATGATTGAATATTTAACAAAAACTAGAATTAAAACAAAACATTTTACAAAAATATTTTGATGTTTTGTTTTAGTGGTACTTGCCTTATTTAAATGTGATTTTTTTTTATTTTAAAAATAAAAGGAGGAAAACATTAACAGACAGACAACCTTTTACAAAATAGCAAAAGAACAGTACAGACAATACAGAGTTACAAACAAAGTGGTAGGAAATTCACAATGTTTGTTATATTA